ACCACGGCAGTCCTAGATTTCTTACCTGCACCATCTGACGGTGGGCCAGGTGTAGGATTAGGACCCGGAGGCGTGTTTGGCGAAATATGATCCTTGCCAATATCAGGGTTTCCCTCTGTTTTCACAATCACATTACTTTTAAAAGACGGTATTTTACCATAAAGTTGATTATTCATGAGATCTATTTCTTGAAGGTCGGGCAGTTGCGTAAGCTCCTTTGGTATGGTACCGGTGAGATGATTACTATCAAGTCTCAATGTTCGCAACGAAGTAAGCAGCGAAAAATTTGAAGAAATCGTGCCCGCAAGCCCCAGGTTCTGAAAATTGATAACAGTAATGTTTCCTCCATTACAGGTAACCCCCTTCCAATTATCACAAGCATCATTCTTTTTCCAACTATCTGCAAAAATTGTAGGGTAACCCATGTCTTTGACGATGGAAAGCAATATATTGACAAAGGGATTACAATCAGAACCAGGTTTATCATTGCAAAAGCTATTAAGCCCAGTCATATCCACCTTAACACCATCTCCAAACTTGGGCATGGGTCCTTGAAGCATATTGTTGGTCAAATTGACGGTAGTAAGGGAATTAAGACTCACCAAAGACGCGGGAACAACGCCCGTGAACTTGTTATCCCTCAAACTCAAAGAGGCTAAGTTACTCAATTTTGAAAAGTCCGGTATAGGACCCGTGAAGGAGTTACCATGTAACCAAACCTCATGCAAGTTAGTCATATTCTGTAACACATCAATGGTACCATTAAGCTTATTGGTACCCTTTTGGCCATTCAACCAAAGAGACTGAATCATAGAACCGGAAAAACTGGCAGGCAATTCGCCTTCAAGGTAATTGAAAGACATGTGCAAATCAATCAAACTTGGGAAATTGGTGCCAGTAAAAAGGTCGGGGATTTTACCGGTGATGTTGGCGTCAGTGGCGGAGAAATCCTTCAGCGCCGTGGCGTTTGTGATAGTGCCCGGAATCTGCCACGCCGAGAAGGGGTTGTAGTCGATGTCGATGCTGACGAGGTTAGTGAGTCCGACGAAGAAATCTTGGGGGAAGGAACTGAAGTTGTTGTTGTGGGCGAGAAGGACCTGAAGCGAAGTCAGCCCAGAAAGGCTTGGGAAGGGCCCGGTGAGTTGGTTGGACTGAACTTCCAATTGTTGCAAATATGCGAGGTTTTTGAGTTCCGGTGGAAGTGAGCCGGTGAGTTTTTGGTTCCCTATTTGGATCTTGAAGACCTTGCTGTCGCTTGTGCAACTCACTTGGCTCCATTTACAGTGATCGGAGCCGGACCATCCCAGACTGTTTGGGCCGATGCTTTTGCGCAGAGCTTCCATGGCTACTCCGTCGGGACCCGACTGGGACTGCACTGGCGCGTACAGGGGGAACAAAAGGAGCAGAAGAAGGAAAGAACCCCGGAAACCCAGATGGGGTTCCTTCATGTTTTCCAGAAAAAACCCGCGAGAAAGTGGAGGAAAGGGAAAAAAAACACAGTGTGATAACAAAGAAGGAGAAGCCAGAAAAAAGAAAAAGGTGTATAATCCTCTGGTGTTTATGGGTTGTGTTTAAACAATGTTGGCGTCAAATTATTTGGAGAATTAGTGAGAGGAAAAGGGAGAAGAAACGGCGGAGATTGAGGGGGGAGAGTCGTTGAATTGGGAAAAACCAAAAAGAAAGACGAAAAGGTGTTATTGGTTTAATTGTGGTGCAGGCAGGGGGTTGTTTGAATGATATTTTGATTAACGTTATGGCGTTTGGAAACAGAGAGAAATAGTTGGCATTAACAAACGATTTACGTGTGGTGTTTTCTTCTTTCCTTTTTCTCTTTTCCTTCTCAGTGCCGGAATATCTTTGGATGATAAATATATGGAGATATTTTAATAAATTGATGAGCTGATGACACCTTACATATTTCTAGTTTTGTTATTTGAGTGCTCGCGACGCGCACGCACCTTAGCCCTTACGGGTGGAGATACTCTTACACCTTACGTGTTTGCTGTCTTCCATTTAAATTTTCTGCTAAACAACAAAATAGGAAAACAAAATCTAGGCCAATATTTATTGTTTTAGTTTACGCGGACGGAGGGAAGAATAAAAAAACAGAAATTCATTAATAAGGGCATAATTGAAAATTTCATTGCGCGTGAATCCAATCACAAGCCAAAATCGAGCAGTAACGTAAGGGGATTTGGGAGGAAAAATTTGGGGGATTTTGTTGCCTTCTTCTCTCCCCTGACGTTTCTGATTACCCTACCCACTCACTGTCACTCTTATTTATTTCCTTTTATTTTCTGAACAACTTTCTTACATATTTTATTTTTATTATTTTAAATTCATCAGTAGTGGTCAACTCCTCCAACTCAACAGAGGGCTATTTATATTTATTTTTTAAACTCCCCCCTTCATTTTTTTACTATATTTCAGATGAAATATTCAATCTTAAACCAAAGTTAGGGTTGGGTGGACCGTCGTGGATGCTTATATTTATATGGTAGAGATATTGTGAATACGATAACGTCGAATTATTCTTTTTTTATTTGGGCCATTATAAATAAATAACCTTAATGGATTACAATCACTTGGTCCGATGTGACTTGTCCACATGTAGCATGTGGGTCCTCACATTTGTTTCCTTTTGCCACTTGCCGCCTGGAATTTGGGAATGTGGTCTCATAATATCGTCTTCATTTCACAACTGTTTTCAACTTGTCCCAAACGTATTTCACTCGCCGACCTATATTTTCCAACCCAAAAAATGGTCTTAATCGTGCTTTGGTTCACAACCGAACCCAAAATAAAAAAAGCCGTCCTTTGGACCACTTCTTTTTATTTTTTTGGGTGATAGATTTGGACCACTTCGTTTGGCCCAAAATATTAACCCAATCTTTTTTCTTAACTAAAAATGATAAACGGAAGCCCAATAGAATTATTGTTCTCAAAGCCTACAATAATACAAAGCGGAAAAGCCCATCGGAACTCTTTTTACTTTACTTTCTTCAGGTCTCATTGCAAAACACTTGCTCCCTTAATTTCTTGTCTGTGTGTTTAATCTTTTGCACTACTAAACATATAAATTAATGATGTGCAAAAGTGGATGCCATATATGTATAATGTATGTATATTGTGTGATTAATTAAAAAAATTAGGAGCTAATTAAGGTTGGTTCACTCCTGATAATAATTTTCTTGCTACTGTAATAGTAGCTAATTGTGCTAATTTATCTGCTAATTAATAACTAAGATCACTCAAATTTGGTGTCCAGAAGTTGGTGTGTGCAGTATTACTCCACTACATACAACTCAGATTCCAAAAATTTGCATTTAAATGTTTGTAATTCAATAATATTAAAACAGGAAAAATAAAACTAGAGTTAAAAAGAATGAAAATGAATCATATATGGACATATGTCACGTCTCAAAATTTTTAAGACTACTTACTGAAGATAGATATAGAATTGGCATAATTTCAGGTCAATTGGACTATATCGTTTAATTCGATCACAATGAATTGGGTTGGTCTAAAAATGAGCGGGTCTTGGGTTTAAAAAATTATAAACCATTACATACAGGTTGGAACTAAAATTTAAAAGTAAGCTTAATTTTGAGTTAACTCAACCGAACCGGTCAATCATAAAAAATTTGAATTGAATTGGGCTTGTCTAATAATGAGTGAGTCTTGAGTCCCAAAAATCATAAACCGCTATATCAAATTGAGTTACGAATTGAGACTAAAACTGACCCAACCCAACCCATGGCCACTGCTAGAATTTACAAAGGAAAAAGCTCTTCCATGCTTTCAAATATTCAGCCACAATTAATATGATAATGTACAAAGATCTACCATGAAAAAAGAAATGGAATTTTAAAAAGGACAATGCTAGGCTCTTGATATATCAGGAGCCATCCCTCCTCCACAGCTAACGTGGCTTCCTTAGAAAATAGCACTTATACACTCCACCACCGGAACGCACCACCTATACACTTCACCACCAAAACCCATGTGGCCAAGCCACACCCAGACACACCGTCGTCACTCCAAGCCACCCCTAGCCAAACCCAACCCATTACTGTCACCTCTCTGTTCTCTGTATCAATTCCCATCTCCTCTCTCTCCTCTGTATCGATTCCGGCCCAATCCGAAGGAATTAATGGATTTAGCCCCCTTTTGAACAATAAAATGCAGACAGACAATCGATAGCCCCTCTTCCAATTGGGAAGCCATCTGTTTCAATAAATGCTTTTGAGTTTTGAGCTTTGGCCGTGGTGGTTATGGAGGTTGTAATGAGGAGGGTGGTGGTGATAGTGATCGAAGTCAGACCCTAAAATCGGTCAAGCTCATGTCTTTTGTTGTGATGTGAGAAATGCTCTGAAAATCAGCTTCCCAAAACCCTTCAATTGGCTACGGATTTTAAAATTTCCTAAATCAGCTTTCTTTTCCAACTTCCAAGGTTACAAAGTCAACGAAGAAGCTTTCCTTTCCTAAAAATTTCCTCATGGTTTTATATTTGTTCCTGTAATGGTTTTATATTTGTAGATGTTGGTTATGATGAAACTCATAACTTGTTTATCTGTAACCCATCAACCAGATTCGTCCGCAAATTGCCTAACCCAGATTTTGTGGTTGTGGCAGAAACAGATTTTGTGCTTGAGTTAATGGAGTTGAAAGAAAAACAGTAAAAATAAAAAGAAGAAGAAACATGTGTTGTTTTTTTAAGATAGTGCAAGCCTTCTGTAGGTAATGAAAGTGGAATTCATTAATCACCAATAACCTGACCTCTCATGTTATTCAGAAAATATTAAACCTCTCACTTTTTCAACAAATAAAAACTTTTTAACAAATTTGTACATAAATTATTGTTATTGAGAAACCCTTTTTTTTCTTCACATCCTTTATTTATTATGAGAGCATATAAATCATCAAAAGTTCCATAACTATTTAGACTGTCCTTTTCAGCTTTCTGGTCGAGTCTCATCTCTGCGGTTATGCATATCCAGAAGTACAAGAGAATATTTCATTACATTCCCAGAAGGTGAAAACGTAAACAGGTGTCCATTCATGACACTTTGTTTTGTAAGAATGATACAAATCAAGGTATTCGAACCTTTTCCTCAGAAGAAAGATGAACTCGAACAAGGCATACAAAAAGTATATAAGATTTACACAATTTTGCTTCTTCCCCTTCTAAGGATCCTATACATACAAGTGGGAATGGAGGAGGCTCTGTGGTATACATGTACGTGGATGCTAATCAAGTTAAAAGTTGGGAGTTGGTTAGAAATGGTTCTTTAAGAATCATCAAAATTATAGGACCAACTGTTGCCGTTCGCTGCAGGAACACACTTACACCAGCAGAATATCGAAAAATTGCTGGTGGTGACACCAGACCAACCAACCAACCAACCAAGATGTCTGCAGACTTTGATTTTCCAGCTTATGTCAAGGAGTGGACAATCTTTGTCATGAATCTGAGCCTGGTTTAGATTTGAAGAACTTGGCAACGGCTTGATAGAGGTTCTCTTCCTCAAAGGGCTTTGAGACGTAACCATCCATGCCACACTTTAGGCACTCATCATAGGTGGCATGAATAACATCAGCTGTCATAGCTAATATTGGCACATGCCAATCACCCTTTCTTGCAAGGCCTTCAAATCCTCCATTCATCTCCACATTTGCCTTGCTCTCCATCTGCCGGATTCGACGGGTTGCCTCAAACCTGCAATTAAAGAAACATTTGATAAAGCACAGAGGCTAACATAACTAACAAATGAGAAGAACAAATATATCTAAAATAAATTACTCAAACACTGAAACATACCCATCCATTTCCGGCATTTGGATATCCATGAAGCAAGCATCAAAATTGTGTGGTAGTTGAAGCAATGCCAATGCAGCTTTGCCACTCTCAACACACTCTACATGAGCTCCAAACTTCTTTAGTGCACCTTCAGCAACTCTCCTGTTTACCCTATTGTCATCAACAACCAAAATTTTCTTTCCACAAAGCAGGCTTTGAAGGAAATTGCATCCATTGGGCACTTCCCTCCCCTGTTGCCTCTTCTTTCCTATGCCCAGCACCTGTTGAAGACATGCAGCCACCATACTAGCCCTCAAAGGTTTCATAATCACAGTATCTGCAAAACCTGCTGCCCTTGCCTTATCCAATTCAGCATCACCAATATTGGTTGCAAGAAGGATCATCTTAGGAAACTTAAATATATGCCCGTTCGCGTTCTGTTTCCAGTCCAATTTCTGTATATTAAGATCGCCTTCACCCGAAACCCATGAATCCTTCTCAACTAGAATTATGTCTGGCTGGATGATATTTCTGCCATATACGATAAAGCAGTTCAACTCAGTTAGTCAAATTGTACTTATTTCCAAAAGTCTACATGCAAACTTCTTTTGGGTTCCTCAAACAAGAAATTTGGGAGGAATCTTCAAGTTTCAATATACAGTCAGTTCAATTGTTTTTTTTTTTGAGAGCCTATACAGCCAGTACATTTAAATGTTCACCATAACAACAATGATGAGTTTTTCGCATGGCAAAACTGTACTCTCGCAATTAGGAGAGATTTTTATTTTATTATAATTTTGTTACCAAATTCTGGTTTTCAAGGCTTTTCCTTTGAATCAACTCTATTTCTAATTAATTAAATATGGAATTAGTTTTTCCATGCCACAATAGCATCAAATCATTGATTCGAAAAATATAAAACTATAGGTTCAGGATCAACTAATTATGAAGGGGAAAACAAAACGGGCATTATGTCATTCAACCAGTAAAGCACATATCGATGAATGCATGAAAATTCGAGACCATCAGTAACAGCGGTAAACCAATATCAACATATAAAAAGAGGGTAGTCTCAGGCTACAAGTAGCTACCCTGCCTGAAACCACAAGCAGTAGCATGAAATAATGATTTGTATTGGCATTTAATTTCTATTGACAGAAGATCACATCAGAATGAAAACATCAGCTTCATCACAGTTAGTATTGATACTTTTAAAAGATATAGCAAGAGTAAACCTACCCGGATGTCGAAGAACCATTTCTTCCACATAAAGCAACAGCCATCGTGATGCTACTCGTAACTTCTACCACGATTCCAAGTCTCTTTAAGTGGTATCTTGTCACAGCAGCTCTCACAAGTTTTTCATCAACTACTATTGCTCTCAATCCTCTAAAACCAGAAGGTAGATCCTCAGAATTAGGTTTTTTCAAATCACTAAATGCATTTTTTTTGCACGTCCGAAAATTAGCCGTGAAAGAAAATGTGCTCCCAACTTTAGGTCGACTTATGAAGTTTATCTGACCACCCATCAGTTCAACCAGACACTTACTGATGCTCAAGCCAATACCAGTTCCCCCATAATTTCTAGAGGTTGAACTGTCTGCCTGCATGAAGGGCATAAAAACACGTTCCTGGGCACATAATGGTATACCGATTCCCGTATCCTCCACAGATACCATCAAAGTGACATGCTCCAAAGCTTCATTAGTGGCAGTCAGATTACTTGAAACATCAGTTCTGTATTCTTCATCAGCAAGCAGATGCTGAAACATATCCCAACTATTCCGGTCATCAGCTGCTTCACATCCACTTAAGGTTTTAAACTGACACCCGTCGGATGTCAGTACACCTTCATCTGATCCTCCGTTCAAGTAAGTCTCTGATTTTCTATTTATCAAGACCTTTGAGGACTCAGCTAGATGGACTTTGACAAAAATATGTCCTCGTTCAGTGAACTGCAAAATGCTTAATACAATGAATATCAACCAAAAATCAAGAATTAGGCGGGCAAGCCAATGCAGAACCATGCGTTGGCAAATAAAGCACGAAGAATTCCACTTACTTTAATAGAGTTGCCTACAAGATTTGTAATTATCTGTCTGAATCTCCCTGGATCCCCCATAAATATATCTGGAACTTTATCGGAAACAAACACTGCTAGCTTCACTTCCCAAATACACGTTGGAGTCGGAAGATTTGCAAAGGGTGAAAGGGATCATGAATTCCACAATCCATTGAGAATGAAAGGAACAGAAAGTTGGAAAATGAAAAGGAGAAATTAGATGAAGTATGACAGTTCATATTTCACAATTTAAGAACAATTAAAATGATCATAAGAACAAATGACTATGAAAATGCCACCATGTCTTGAGGCCCTTTAAACTTAATAATGCCACCATAAAAGCCAACAACAAAAACATTGAAGTAACTCAGAGCTGCTCTTATTGAAGCCATTGGAACTTACCTCTATACCCTTATTTCTAGAATTTTCAGAAAATAAAGACAGGACATCATCTAGTATCGATCGAATGCCAAATGGAACTTCTTCCAACTCTAACTTGCCAGCATCAATCTTTGCCCGGTCAAGGACCTCATTAATTAATGTTATCAGTGCCTTTCCACAAGCTTGAGCAGTTCGAGCATAGTCCCTCTGGGTTGAATTTAAAGATGTATCTAAAAGCAACGCAAGCATGCCTGCAATCTATTGTTCTGAAAACAAAATCTTAAAAAAGGGAATCTGTCAGCAGCCTACCAAGGATTCCATTCATGGGTGTTCTAATTTCATGAGAAACAGTAGCAAGAAACTGACATGAGAAAAGAGAAAGACAACAGATCAGAAACATGGCATTTAGGAATGAACAATGTTTTGGAAAATGTTGGGTACAGCACCTGGGACTTGGCAACATCGGCAGCTTCTGCTCGAACTTTTAATTCCTCCATTTCATGGAAATCATCCTCAACTTTAACAATGTGCATTGCTGCTCCATATAAGATATAGCCAACTAAAAAACCAATCACAAAGAATAAGAATGCAGTGTTAAGCGCCGTCCATGACGTGGGTGCCTTCTGATGATACCTGCTCAGCATCCAATTATGAGCATCAGCATGACAAAACCGCTAAAATTCTCCATCTATTAATAGTTATTGAGTGGGTGCCCTTACCTACATATCATCTGATGTTTTCGGAAAGGATCTCCAAAGTCAAGCTTGCTTTCATGCATAAGAGATGTGTCACCATCTTGATATTGGTGACCATACATGATTAGGGGATCAGAAGTGTTTGTGACATCATATACATAAACCAAAATGGCCTGATTCCCAGCAAGTTGCCCAAGCAAATTCTCCACTAGGGACTCAACATCAAAGGCTCCACCAAGGTACCTGCATTTAATTGGAATTCATTTTATACACACACATCTACAACTTCCAGATAATAATGCAAACACTTGAAAATGAGAAAGGAAAGTAAAGACTTCCTTCCACTTAAATCATGCCATATTGTAACCGTTGCAAGATTGACGAACAAATTTGCTACAAAGTACTGTATATATACGTGAAGCCTTCAGCAATATCAAACTGAAAACTACAAGACATGTAAACCAAAATATTCCAATTGTGCTTAATTTTCACAGAATCACTGAAAACTAGAGCTGCTGGTGGAGACAACAATCCAGAGACAAAGCTTGGGGCAGGGGTTTCTAGGTGGAAAGTAGCTGTGGTAACAGAGGTCACTTGGAGAAAATGGCCATTTGGCATTGGTCTGAATACACAAATGTATGTACCAATGGATGGGTTGCTAACTTCTGTGTAGATGCAGGAGATGGAAAAGGCAAAAATATATGCAGGTAATCATAACACAATACAGAAAGCATTTGAAGAAAAGGATTTCAACAGTTCTATACTTGTATACCAACTTACCCAGCCGCAGCTGCAATGCGCTCCTCCACAGTTGGGTTTGGAGGGAGCTTGGATTTGTAAACAGGGAAAGTCAACACAACACCAAGATGATGAGAACCCAGCAGCCTGAAAGGACTGGTTAGAACAGCTTTTCCAGTAGCCCTAGCTCTCAAAATGTTTTCTCTGTCCTCCTGCATCATGCATTGGGGAAAAGAAATTCAAAGGTCAAATGAAACGCCAAGTCTATGCTCTGATGGAAGTACATGGTGCTAAACAATATAAGCATAATGAAGGTAAACATATCCTACAGTTACCTCCCCAGACATCATGTCAAGTGATTCAATGTAAGAGACCGTTTCCTGCGAGAAAATTACAGGTGCATACTCATCTCGGACAGGGGAGGGTTCCCTCTCCATTGTCTTTATCGTCCAGCCATGTTGCCTCTCAAAATTTTCCCTATCCGAATCAAGCACTCTTTGTGCATAGGCCACCCCACTTAGAAGAGGCCTCTCAAAGGCAGTTCTGGCAGTGTATTCAGCAAAAGTTTCCTGCATTTTCTCAAATACACAAAAACCAAATCACACGCGAAGTAGAAACCAGCGATGCCACATTCAATCATATCATACCCTCCCCATAATCTTTAAAAGGAAGATCTATTAGGAACCATATAGCTTAAATGAACCAAATTGTACTAGTTAAAAACATATCAGCAGCAACTGTAAGAAGTTCCAATTTTTTTCCCTCTCGTCTTCCTGAAATTTATAGCAAAACAAACATTACCCTGACAAGTTATGATCAAAATTCAAACGCATACCTGATCAATTGCTGATGGGTTTTTGTAGTAATGGAATGTGGAAACAAGGATTGCAAGGGCGTGCACATGATTAACGCTAACACTGAATTGATCTTGCAACATTCTTGCCCTCTGATCACACATACTACCAAGAACTTCTACCCTTCTCACTTTGTTATCAGCATCCATGTAATTGTAGATTGACATGCTCAAGAAAAACATCACAATGATCCAAAGTATAAAAAGTTTTGGGAACCAAGCCCTGTAGGCTTGAACAAAAGTGTAACCCTTTTTAGTCCCCGTTTGCTCATTCAACCTCACAGCCACAGAGTGGTGGCTCTGCATCTTCAAATTCCCACCCATCAGCACCAAATCAACTTCTTTGCTTCTTCTTCCTCTTGTTTCCTCTTTACCCATCTCATATCTAAGCTAAAAAAGAACCTCGAGAAGTCACACACTTACATACATATATATAAGCACACTTTCTTAAAGTACCGGCTGTTTTTCAGACACTTTTTTCTGATGTAGAAAGCAAAAGGGTACTGCTAAACTATAAGTAAATTATTATCACAGCACAGCATTGTTTTGCGGATTAAAACATCTGAAAGCATGAGCAGGTGAACACATCTCCTACTGTGGAGTGTGGACTTTCTTCGCTCAATCACTGAAATCCCATTTCTATAGTATAAAGAGAGAGAGACCAAGAACTCAAAAAGAAGAATTCTCAATTCTCAAGAGACAAGCATGGCTCTCAAAAGATGGGAAAAATAAAGCTCAAATTTCAAAGTAGTCTTTCTGTTTCTCTCTCTTTAAAATGGGTCTGTCTCAGGACTGTGAAGGCTAAAAAAGAAAGATTTCAAGGACCAAAAAAAAACAGAGAGCTCTAATCATGGCCTCTCAAAACGTGAAGTTTAGTTAGAGGCATCCAGACAAAGAAGGAGCACGTTCACTGTTTTTCTACTATATAATAATGGAAGCCTCAGATTGACCCGAAAACACACACAGCTAAGCACACAACACACCAAGAGTTTCAGAGTGAGAGAGGGAGAGAAAAAGAAATGGGGTTGTTGTTGTTGAATTGAAAGAAACCATCTTTTACCTGTACAACTGTAGAAAGAGATTGGCTTGGTGCAATTCACTGAATTTATAAAGAGAGAGTTTTGGTCTGGGTCGTCTTGATCTGAGGCTCTTTCTTTATTTTGTTGGGTTTTCCAGTGTATAATAGTAGTTTTATGACTTTTTATGCTTTGCTTTTTAAAGCAAACTGAATCGAATTTTTTGGATTTTCAGAGATACGCTCTTGTCTCCCCTTCTCTCTCTCTCTCTCTCTCTCTCTCTCTCTCTTCCTTATAATATTGCATTTCACACTACACTCTGTCTCCCCCCTAGTTCTCTCTCTCCTACTTTCTCTCTCCGTTCTTTGCCACTTTCTGAGCTCACATTGAAGCTGATAGTCCAAAATTTTAGAAATTCAACAGAAAAAATTTGCGTAATGGGTCTGACTCTGACCCTTAAAAAAAGAAAAAAGAAAAAGGAAAAAGGAAACCCCAAATGGGTTACGCTTTTTAAGTTCTTTCAACCAGTAAGTAAAAGGGAAGGATTAAAGAGTTGCACAGGAAGAAGGAAGCGTATTGCCCATCAAAGCACGGCATCTCCAATTAAAACCAGAAAGAATCTGATGGCCGGCTTATCTTTCTAATTTTCATTTCTGTCCGATCCGAGTGTGTTTTAAATCATCATATGGTTAGGTGTTTTTTCCGTGACCAATTTTTTTTTTATTAAAAAAGAAAAAAAAAAAAAAAAAAAGTTGGGGCTTGTCCATTTTTCTTCCGGTTGCTGTGTGTTGTTTTTCTAACAGGTAGAGTGAGTCTGGCGTGTGTAATGTGCTCAGGATTTTATTTTATTATAGATCCAATTGGTAGGAAGGGAAGTCCAAAAATCGTAATCACAAATCTTTGGGATAATGACATTGCGACAAGCCCCAGATCTCATTCTCCTCTAAATTACCTTAAACCCCGTATTTTGATACATAATTCCGAAACTACCCCATCTTCGTTTCTTTTGGTTGATTTCCAATTCCAAGCTCGATGCTTTTCTCTCTTTTTTATCTGACATTTTCATTTTCATTTTCTTTACCTACTACCTAGGGAATGAGAGTGTGCTTGTGTTATGTTGTATTGATTAGAAGTATTTAACTTAAATACTTATTGGAGAATGTTTTATATTATACTGATGTGGATCAATAAGTCTTACTTCACATTTCTTGTTCATAATTAACTCACATTTTGAGCTCATAATTAACTCAAATGACGCCAGCAAAAAATAAACGCATATGTTTTGATAATGATAGGATAAGTTTGAGTTTTTTTATTTTTATTTTTATTTTATTTTATAAAATATGGGATAAGTTTTAGTTGGCTAGATAGATATATGTTTGGAATGACACATAAATAGTAGGTGGTGTTGGTTTGTTTAAAAAGGGATATCTTTTGATGGAATATGGGGAAGATTTCATGGGGACCATTTTCATTCACACGTCCTATGGTATATATGAATAAATAGGCAAAGGGACTAAATCTTAAGCATGAGGCAAAGGAAGTTTTAGGGTTTTTGGTTTTGTGTTCTAGCAATACTATTACCTTATTAATTAGCAGAGCAATTAAGGGAAGGAAATGGCTTAAGGGTTATTTTATTTTGGTACCACTCAAAGTGTGTGGGTGGTGTCGGCCATGTGGTGAGGTGGTCAACCTCACTCACTCACACCTATCACTTTCACTTTCCCAAACAAAAAAGTCTCATTCTACTTCCATGTTTCTTTCTTTTGTTTCTTTTCTTCAAATTAATGATCATCATGTCCATTGTGACATTGTCCTCCCTACCTGCCATGCCGTATATCATATGCATGCCAATTTGCAAATTTGCATGTGCTAATGCCATCCATCCCATCCCCCTCACATACTTCACATGCCCAGGTGCTGCTGCTTTCTCCGTCTCTATAGCATTTGCATCCAAATGTCCCATGCCCTGCACTGCCTCTGTTGTACGTGGTCCCCTGATTTGGTTTCATTGAGCCATGTGATTCTTTCAGCTCCCTCCCTATATCCAAATCCAGTGGTTATTATTATTATTAACAGATAATTATTTATGCAGGTTGTGAGTTTACTTAAAGGTGTACTGCTTGCTACTAGTAGATACGGATAATTCAAAATTGCAGTTAAGTTTCACTTTCGCCCGCCCATCACCTAATATAATTGAGATTCTCACACACACACCAAACTGAATCAAACTTTCGTTGTATCTGACGGACAAGAATATGAACATTTATAAATCATTTCTACTGCTTCTTCTTCTTCTTCTTCTTCTTCTTCTTCTTCTTCTTTTTTCCAAAATTTCTACTGCTTCTTTATTTTTACGATTATGATCCGAGTTTGGCTTGGCTTTGATACCTAAATATTTCATCAACATAATTGATATGAAATAATCATAAACATGGGCTTGCTTCATAAGTCTCATTGTAGGACATAACCAATTAATTACAAGTTGAGTAGTCGTTGCAAGTTATTATTTAGTTCACATATTTCTTTTGTTTTGTGTAGAAAACAAAACAAAATAATGTTATAATGGGTTTCCTATTTTCATTTGCTACAAAATAGTTTTGCCATGAATCTCCTCCACTAGCATTAGCATTAGCATATGACTTTCTTTTTTAAAAGGTTGCCTTAGCCTTAGCCTAGTTTGGATCAATTTTGTGATTTGAAGGTATAACCGTAACAATAAATTCATAGCATTAGCATTAGCACCCTCACTTGCTTTATAAGAGAATCAAATTAATTCATAACGACCCCTACTTTTCTTTTTAAATATATATATAACAACAAGTGCATCTTCTATTTTCTTTTTTTAATTATTGCTATAAACAAACAAGTGCATCTTCAAGTTCCAATTGATTGAGGCTTGAAAACCTGTTGTTAGTCTTTATGGTGGATTATCTACAAGGAGAAAATCGAGGTTAAAAATAAGGTGCTCTCTTACTTTCAAAGTCAAAGTCCTTGAAACACAATTTTCTTTCTCAACCAATTAAATTTAATCCTCCAGCTCCAGCCTCCTCCAGGCATGAAAGTTTTGAACAAAGGGAAGGACGCTTTGATTGCTCAAACCTTACAAAAGATGTATATATATATATATATATATGTGTTGTTGGGGCTTTCTTATATATATTTTTCTCAACCTCATTTTTCTGATAATATATTAATGAGGGGGAGCTGCACATGAACGAACCATGATCAACAACACAAAATCCACCAGCATAGAGTAAGTGCTTAAAGGGTTCATTGCACTTGCCACTCTCCTACGCCAATATAAACATATTTAATCCTTAAACTCAGTTTTGCATGTGCATCGATACTACTACAACTCTCTACTTACTTATTTTATGTACATTTAGTACTTCTCATTAATTTTTCTTTTGGGAGTTTTATTATTATGCTCAATATATATAGGGTTGAAAATGTCGATAAAGAATTTAGGGTTTAGTGTCGATAAACATAAACTAATGATCATTTCCAAACACGGTGATGGGGTCACTCAAATAAAGGAATACGTACGTGGTTGAATATTTTGTCAACAAGGTTGGAAGTGTTTGGAGTACTGGAAGAGAAAAGAAAGGTGCACATATAATCTTTGATATACTTGGATTGGATTATATGCCTTGACTGAGCTGATGGCGTTGTTTAAGACGAAGGAATATTAACGTTTGGGATAGATAAAGGACAAGATCAAAGACATGAAAGTAACTTTTGTTGCTAATTGCAGCTAAGCTAGCGGGGGTCGCAAAAGGGCAGGCATATATATCTCTAATCCGAAGCTTGGTTGGGTGGTATATACCTAAACAATTAGGTCTCAAGACTTTGCGTTAATATCATCTTGGTTGGTTTGGAATATAAGGACGAGATAAGATCGAAGAGATCATAGATGATGAGAAGATTGCGAATATAATGTACGTGGCAAATCTCCTAGTCAAAGTAGGAGAAAAATCATTAGTATTTCAGAAAAGAAGATGCCCCCCATATTACTAGTATGAGTGGGCCAGGCCAGATTACGCATTCCATATCCATATAGTCTGCCAAACCGAAAAAATCAAACTGATGACGGCCAAGTAAAAGTAAGAAAATGTGTAAGAAATATGCAGCTGAGATTAGAGATATGATCAACAAAGTAAAGCAATCATGACTAATCCAATTGGGCTAAGTATAAATTTGTTGGCCTCATATATATATATATATATTGGACTTGGAGCATTGAACAGTGTCACCACGAATTAGGGTTAATGAATGAATAATTTCGGGTACCAGACCAGAGTCACGGATGTAGTCGGCCAATGGGCTGAGGTCGTCTCACATGTCCATTTCAGTTTTGACCGGACAGTGTGGACTAGTGCAGTCATGGGCATTTCATGTTCATGTATGCAGTCTCTCTATCGTCACGTGTATCTGGCTTAGTTTCCTGGTTTCCTCTCCAAATCACATCAATTTGCGATTGCAGACTTTGCAGACTTGCAAGCCCACTCAAGATTCAAAGAATTTGCAGACTACTGAGTCCCTGCATCATTCTTTGTTATGACACAAGGATAGACTGTCGAGAGCGTGAATCTCATAATAATAAATTCACATGCTCTTATATCATTCTATAATAAACTTAAATGAGCCGTGTGAAGGAACATGTGGAGAGAGTTGACATGACAACCAACTTCATCAAATTGACGATCGCGAGTAAATATTTCACTTAAGAAACTGCCCTCTTTTTACTTTTGGTCAATTTTTTACCATGCTTTTTCTGAGTGCGCCATATATACAAGCCCAAGCCCCAACGTTCATTTTTGCATAACAAGCCCAAAAGTTTGTTTTACCAAAAGCAAAAGGCAATGGGTTTTGCAATTTAGGCTGTATTTTTCTTTTCTTTTTTTGTTGATGTAATTTAGGCTGTATTGATTGTATAGTCGTTTTATTTTGGTTTTGCAATTGCACGAGCATGCAGAAAAACTTGCATGAAACGAGAATAATATTATTTTACATGAAATTAACGAACGATCGATTGTAGGCTGATTCATATACAGATGTGAGAACAAAAGAAATAAGAACAAGAGAAGATAATAGAATAAGAGTATGGTTTGGAGCTCGAAGCAAATCAACATTCCATCATGAAGCAGTTCCTTTGTTTTTATTTATGCTGCCAAAGTTAAAGTAACATCAATCAATCAAACAAAGCAAAAAAGCAAATATCGGGAAGATACATTCACACATGTTAAGAAAATAAATAAAACATACTCAGGATCTGATTAGAGCAGCAATTGTGTATATCGTGCTTATTACCCAAGGATTAACTAGGATGATCAAGGGGAGGGGGTGGGGGACCAATTCTCATTTCATCGCATCCGTGACACGTGTCATCACCACGTGCTAGTGGTCGGCCATTTCTTTAATTATTTTTCTAAATGTATGTGTATTATTTTCGATTTCCTTGGATTAATTTTGGGAGTTTGTGAAGTGTGGGCAGCAAGTCTTGTACTCGAGTGGGAGCATGAATGAAGCTGTCGGGTCTTAGTGGGCCGACGATCCATTTGTAAGACTAATAAGAGTAGTAAAGTTTCCTTTGACGTCTGTCGTTTTTCTCTGCCTTTTTATTTTTTTCTAAAAACTCATTTCTTTGGGTTATTTATTTTATAGTATCTAATATAATCCTCTGAAATTAATTTAAGGCTGAGTCAACTTAACCTACACGGGTTTTAAATTACCATCCAATCCAATCTGATTCACATGCCAAAACTTTGAGTTTAAAAATCTTCCAATATCGGATGATGCGATAAACTATCATGATTTTGACCTAAAACGAATGTCGTTGTTAAATTACAAGAAAGGGAAAAGCATCGTACCCAACGTTTGTGATACAAATACAATTCGGTCATTTCATAGTTGAAGATGAGATCTTTGCAAATATTTGTGGACCCACCTTTAAGGTAAGGTAAGCACAGGCCTCCCTCAACCTTGTTTTGGTGCTTCACAGAGGAAGGTGGTTTTTTTTTTTTTTTTTGGTTTGTTGGTTCTGTTTTCTTTCTCCCTATTTGCTTGCTTGTCAGCTTGCATGGTGTTGGACTTGAGTATATGTGTGTCCCATATGTTGGAGCCATAAATAAAAGAAATCTGCAAGTGGGATAAAATAAGTGTAAGAAATATCACAAAAGCAAAGCAAATGAATTATGAAATTAATGGATAAAAGGCAAGTGTGAGGTGTGACCGTGTGAGGCCTTATGTTATGTGCTGCATGTAAATTGTCAGGCATGTAAGTGGCAAGTGGGAGATGATGATGAGATGGAAGTTATGGGTAGTCCATCTCATCTGACTGACAAAAGATAATCTGTATGTATGTGTGTTATGTAAATACTGGAAAGAATCTGACCCTTCTTTTAAAAGTGAAAGAAGAATGAACAGTGAGTGAGTGAATGAGCAAAGAGACACTACACTTTTGCAAGTATCTTTTTATGTGGGACTTGAACTCAGTACTCTTCGCTTTCTCTGTTTGCTTCTCTCTCTCTCTCTCTCTCTCTCTCTCTCTCATCTCATTGATTTGATTTGTTTCATACTAATAGGTAGCTGTTGGAGAGTGGAAGAGCCCAAAATTCAACGAAAATAGTGGTTAAGTGTGTTATCTGATTTTTCCTTTTCTCTGTCTGATATCTTTCTGACTTTACACCATCATCCCCATCCCTCCTACCATTTCTTTCCCATAATTGTACACCTTTCTCCGTCTCTGTCCTCCTTCCCTCATCTTATCCTCATTTATTTCTCCCTTAATTCCTTTTACCCACTCCTTTTCTGGTAAAAAAAACTTGCAAAGAAACCCAGATAAGATAACAGGCCTGTCTCTTTAGTCCTTGTGGTGGTGGTACTGGCACTTCCCTTAAGTGGCATGAGGCATATCCCTAAACCATAGCGCCCTGCAACTTCAAGACTATGTATGTATGAACTCTCTCTACCTCTATAGATTTGATTTTGATTGCAGCTTTACTGCTCTTTTCATATGATTTTCTTTGCTCTCGCTGTAGTCTTAGGCTTTTTTGCTTATAGTTAATTTCTTTCCTTTTGTTTATTTTTGGTTTTTGGGTCTAAAATCACTACAATTCAACCTACTACTACTACGTCTTGTTTAGGAGGGTCTTGGCTGTGAATGGTTGAATTTATTTTGAGCTCTGTCAGTGACTTGTACAGGACTGGTGAGCTTTGGTTGATTTTATGCTTCTGAGTATTTCATATGATGTATTTTAGTTTTTTTTTTCCATGTTTTTGAATATATTCAGTCCGGACTTTCTGGGATTCTTTATTGTGTGATCTTCTTTTGGACCATTCTTTCTCCCCGAATAAACCAACGATTATGCTTTTTCTGAAGTTGAACCTCTTGCTTTGGATGCTTGTTTGGTTGTACTGAGTTGTAGTACCTAATTAATATGATTATTACAGTAAACTAGTAGATGTTAACTTGTAGTAGATTATCAAAAGTAAAAGGTGAAAAGCAAGGTCCATTTTGATCATCTCTGGATGGAAGCAATTTTTTTGGTTGCTTATAACAAAATTTAAAGGAGATCATTCAAAAAGAATACTGACATGCTGAAGAATCATGGATCTTTATTGAAAATTTATAAAGTATTGATGTCTCCTATGGGCTTTTGATGTTAACAGCATTTGGTATTAGGTAGTAGGTAGAAGCTAATTCATGGAAGTAGCTGAGGAAACCTTTCCACTAATTGATTTGGTATTCTGCTGTTTAATATTTAGGAGTACTGGTGTTCAAAAGTACCTCAAGTTTGTAATATATATCCACATGGATGAAGACAATTTGGGTACCACTACAAATCAGAAAAATTGAATAAGAATACCACTGTTCATAGTATAGTCCAATGAAAGTACTTATCACCCACAATCATATGGAACAAGGGATTGCATACTAATCCCTTATTCCGAACAATCTTGTTAATTTGTTCATACATTAGCTACTGTCTTGAGAAGCGTATATGTACGAGCATGACAATATCATGGTAATACGATTTCGTAATTTGATGGAAATCTGTCTTTTCCATGTTCTCCAATTTTAATCTTAACATCCTGTCTCAAACATTGGGTAAACCATGGTTGTAGTTTTACTGATTTCTCATGATGATTCCCCACCTTTTAGAGATGCACCCTTTTCGAGATAAATAGACACAAAGGCACCCCAGAGCACAATTTTTCTTTGTAGAACTCTTATGTGACGAACAAATATGTTCTCAGGACACCTTTCCCTTATTGAAGTTATGACTTTAACCTGTGAGATATACAGCTCCTTCCTGAGTTTCTTTTGTTTTTTTCTTTTGTGATTAGTAAGTTCCTTACAGAGATTTTGAGATTGTACTATTCCCACTTCCTAATTGCTTAAGGAAAAGCTTTTACACAATATGATATCAGAGGAAATAGTGGTGTTTGAATCCCAAGGCCTTCCAAGCTCCAGTCAATTTCAGAATCTCGCACATTAGATTCACACATGAGAGAAATGCTTGATAGTTTTAAATTGGATTCTCACTATTAAGACAGAGAATCTCCACTAAACTAGAAAAAAGCACGAGTCACAGTACATTACTTTTAGAGAGTGTTCATACGTGCAGGCCTTGTAAGCTCCGTATTCCATAGAATGTTATGCATTGTGTTTGACATAATTGTTTTATGAGTTTCTGTTATGTAGTTTGCTGATGGAACACGGCTGATGGCTGGTCATGTTTCTCTATATGGAATCGCTAGCTAGGAATTGTATAGCAACTACTAGGCAAAAGTGCATGATTCATGTTCAACAGAAAGACAGTGATAAGTTGATTGGTGTTTATTAGATGAGATGAAATATTTTCATTTTTGGTCGAGATACTGTATAATCAAATGAAAGTTGGCGGGATTTCTGTCCATGTGTTTTTCACATGCATCCCATTTACCACCATCAATCCCTCTTTGCAAATTCTCTTGCTACAAAATAGAAGAGAAGAAAGAATCCTAATATGTCATGAAAAATTACTCATTCTGGCATTCGTGATTGCAGGCGAAGAGCTAGCTGACGACGACACTGTCAGCAGTTCCTTCAATTCTTCGTCGGATTTCTGATATATAGAAGAAATAA